ATCAGCCCTTACGGTTTTCATTAGCAGGACTAAGTGTGGAGATGTGTGTGAGAATGGATTTGATTTCTTAATTCAAAAATAGTGCCTTAAAGTAGAACAATTACAAAGTACTTTTAGAAAATTGGATGTGACAGAGTTTAGGTTGCCAGCATAATTTGGGTCTTACTATATAAGCATGTAAGATGGACTCCAGTTAATGATCATACAGTGCCCTGGATTCAGACAGTCATAAGGTGGATAACGTACACAGAAGAAATAATCAGTCAGTATTTCTTTTTCCCTCACACAAAGTGTGTGGCTGAGCTTGTGTTTACTGCACCCTTTTAAAACCTCATACAGAATACTGTTAGCAATTTCCTTGGGGGAATGTCTATGATATTCATCACAACCTAAATAGGACCATTACCAAATCTCAGCACATTCATGAGGAAAGAGTTTTATCACCGACACTTTAAAAATGCAAAATGAATGCGGAAATTCAAGTATTAGATGTGTCCTCTAATTTTAGCTGCTTGAATTCAGGTGTCTACTTCTGATCTGTGAAACGCTTAACAACATTACAACACTACAGCATGGACATATTTTGGTTTGTTTTCCTTCGCTGGAGTTAGTCTGGCAGGAAGGAGGAGAGGGGAGAGGACCTGACAGCATGTGCTGCTGACAACCAGCAAATGGAAATCAGGAGATGAAGAGCAAGTTGCCAGTGACAGTGCAGAAAAAGGGAGAAGCTATGAAGAGAAAAAGGGATCCGCAACACTGGGGGATGAGAGCAGAGAGTGGGAGACAGAAAAATGGAAGAATGAATGAGAAATGAGAAAAGGACACAAGGAAAAGCACGTAGGCAAGGCAGAACTGAAATCAAAGCCCTGTCCAAAGTAAAAACAGCGTCATTTGCAAATCAGTTTAAAATTATTTAACCCAGCTGTTGCAACATCTAGAGCAAAATCTTAATTTGGGTTCAGAGTAACTTAATTTGGTAATTAATCAATGTGTGCCTCTTTTAAATGACAATAAGAATCTTTAGACAGGATTTCTCACCAGTTAAATATTTCAGTTTTAAAGACAATTCAAGTTTTAAATGGAAGGGTGCTTCAAAAAGAAACAACAGCAAAGACAAAGAACAAAGCACAGAGAAAACAGAAAATTCTTAGTTATAGTAATACAATCAGAAAATCAAAGCTAAAACACTGCAAAAATCCATAAGATTTCTTTCCATCTATTCTAAAGGGTCTGTTGGCCTACAGAGTGGGAGGTCTGGGCAGCCCCTCTGCCTGTGACTTGGTTCCTTGCACCCGCAGAACATGCTGATATTGGCACCTTCTGGGTGTTCGCATGCATGGCAGAGCAGCATACGCATTCACACCCTGTGCTTCAATGTATAGTTAGCAGCCTACGGCCTTCTTTGCAAGGCCTTAAAATATTCTTATTTAGGACAATTCCAGTAGGTACGTCCACATTTTGTGGGGGCAAATCCCACAGACGTGTCTGTGTTTGTTCTGCAGCTCCGTGCTGCGCTTGGCTGGCTGTGTGCAGGCAGAGCTGCCAAGTAAACCTGAGCAGTGCCTGAGTGCCTGCCAAGCTGTGCCAGACACCTCGCCCTGCCCACGCTGCTCTCTCTTGTCTGAGTTCAGCGCATTTCCTGGTCACTTCCTGTATTTAAAACACCCATCAGTATTTCACCAATTGCTTCTGCATGTTCTCAGTGAAAGAGAAACTGAGGGTGCAAATGGCCACGATCCATCTAATACAATAATCTGCATAGACCTGCATGCTATAGAAAGAAACACCTCAGTCTCGCTTGCAGGACAGATGTGCTTCTGTTGGCTACTGCCAAAGTATAAATTCCTCCAGCCACTTCAAACGAAGGTACCACATTCCTACCTGTAGAGGCACAGCACTCTGCTTCCTCCTGGTCCCAGGCTCTCACTGCCAGAGCTCCTGCATCCCCCACACCACCTTGTTACAGCCAAGGCTGCCCACAGCTGGGCTCCTATCAGAGCAGCTCACCTGCAGCTCCACCACCACCATTTCAGCCATGTCACTGCTGGGGGGCTGCAGTGTGCACCGTGTGTCATCACCTGGGTTCATCCAGGACTGGGCTTCCGTGCACCAATCAAGCAGCTGAGCACAGGAACAGCTATGCTAAGCTCAGTTCACCTGGGGCAGAGACTTGGCACTTCTTTTGCCTTTTTCTGATTGTGATCTGCTTACCTGAATTGAGTATTTGACCAACAAGTAAGTTGCTCTTTAAGAAACAACCTGAAACCTCATTTCTTCTTGCTCGATCATTTGCCCTTGTGAGGCTGAAGTAAAAAATAAACCAACCTACTGTTGAAAAAGTACAATGGTAACCTGAATGTGGCCTTGGTGACTGAGCCAGGTCTTGAGCAGCTACAGAGAAAGTATGTGAGAGTCAGGTTCTGCAGTAGAGCCTTTCTCTGCCCTCTGGCTTATGCACACAACAGAACACAGACTTGAGTCTTTGGTCACAGACCATCCTGGGATCTGCAGAGAACAGCCTACTATCATCAGACACAAGACTCTCCTGACTGAACCTGTTTGAAATATTCACCACACTACCATCTTGAGGAAAACTTCAGTCCTGCTTCGCCATACTGATCTGGCAGAGAGCTGAATCCAGGCTGCAAGACACGCGCTAAGGAGATACTCACGTGTTCTGGAGCACCAATACCAGGGCTGCAGCTGTCCCTACAAAAGTTAGATCACTGCAGCTTGCTTTGATCTGAGCTATGGTCTTCAAAGCACCAAAGATGCCATTGGCTTTTTTGTCTCTCTTCAATGAGACACTCAGCTGCCTGCAGCTTGTGCCCCAGATTCTGAGACCAGAGAATAAGAAATGAATTTAACACATGGGCTGCACGCTGGAAATACGAGTCAAAGCAATAGTCCTATCTCCATGTTATAATATATTAATGTTTGCAGTGTGCAAATCGGACCTAGAGATGTAATTTCCACCTTTAAAATTTATTCTGTTTCTCTGTTGTCCCTTGCACTTTCTACTTGCTCTCAAACAAGGGAGTCAAAACTGTAAAGAATGACTCAAGATATCAGTAAAGATAGAATTAACAGAAAAAGCAGACCTGGTTTTGTAGAGGACCATTCCCTAATCAGCCACAGGGTTATGCAGGTTTCCTCCGCTGTGGCAGAAATGAGAAGGGAAGGGCACACAACAAGGAAGCAGGAGCGGTAGGGATTCACCTTGAAGGCTTTCATGCGCATGAACTCACACACACACAGAACAAAAGCAACTCTGCTGTGCCTATGGGGAACTCTCACCCTCAGGCTAACCCTAAAGCGAGCATTAACCTACTTATTGCACCTCTAGGCAATTTGCTGGGTGAGGAAGCTGACAATTTGGGGAGGAAGGCGAGCAGATCTCAGATACTCTCAGCACAATATTCCCATCTACTGCTGAAGTACAGCACAGTGAAGGCCTGGTCTGGATCACCTGTATCAGGTCTGTTCTGCCCACCTCACATGTGAGGCAGAGAACAGGGATGTGACCACCTGCCCCGTACAGGAAGCATCCTCAGACTGAAAGAGCAGCACGCCGCCTGTTATGTGGGAGAAGTGCCAAGGGTTCTGCTGTGGAGCTCAGACTCACTCAGGCTTTGCTGGTCAAGCAGCATTTGTCCTTTCTTAAGATTTACGCTCTGCCTCTGTACTCAGAAAACCTGCCATTGGCCTGATTGTCACTTTGCATCTTCAGAAACTGCCATTAGTGCTTCCAAGCAGACAAACAACTCCAGATTCAGTAGGTATTGCTGTCAGTTTTAGCACCAGTCATCGTGCTGTTGCCCTTGAAACACACATACGTGGATACTGGAGCAGACCATCCCTGTCGTTGTCGCTCCGGGGACAGCACCAGGACTAGTCAAAGGCAATGACAACACCAAACCACTGAGCTGGCAAGGCAAGTAAGTGCACTGAAACAGGGCACCAGGGCAGACGAAATGTGCGAAAGAGCGACAGATGGCATGTGGCCCTGGGCAAGCAGGAGCCAGGGCGCAATGCGAGCAGGAAATAGAGTGGGCAGGCAGGTGAGAAGGGAGAGGGCACCAGCTGAGAGCAAGTCCCCAAGCTACAGCAGGAATGCACAACTAAGCTAAGGCTGGCCTTCCCTGGGAGCTTTCTTTCAGCAGTGCTTGTGGCACTGATAGCCAGCACTGTTTATGTACTTTGCACTTGGGATTCCGTGTTTAGAAAAGGAATACTAGGTTCCAAGGAAGACAAACCACAAATAATTCCAGCTAAGAGTGTAATCCTAGTCAATCTGCTCCTTCGGTTACTGAAACATAATGTAAATACTCAGTTGAATTTTATTCCTCTAAGATATTTAACCATTTCATTGCCAACCAGAGTAATGTCTAAACATACAGACCAGTTCCAGTGAACATTGCCTGACAAAGTTTGTAAACAGCACCTTCTGATGTTCAGCACCCATCAGGTTGAACACTGAGAAAGATCCTGATGTTGTTGTCAGACTTCAGCACCTTGCCTTGTTTCTCTCATGACGCCATTCATATAAAACTGCTCAATTTCCTGTCTGCAGTGCATAGACAGTAACTGCCTGTAGCATCTTTGATATTTTTAATCGTGCTGTACAGTGTCATCTCGCCGAAAATTGGTCTCCATTTGAACCCAAGCCCAGTGCCCTGGCTGCCATCCTCACTTCATCTAGGCCACGAACAAAGGAACTGCATGCTGCAGCCTGTCTCTCTGATCATGTTTTGTTGTACATATTTTCTCTGTCCTAGAAGTGATCAGCTTGCTACCATTTAAAGCCCACAGTCAGCTTTAATCTACTTAGCTGGGATTAATGAGAGATTTGTTAAAGATTTAAAGATTTTACACATTTTGCTTACAACTGTTGCTATCTACAAACATTAGGCAATAAGCCCCATGCAGACAAACTGTTCTTAAAGTCAGGCACATCCATCAGGTGTGTCCAGGCTGGCAAAGCAATGCTGATGGCTTACCTGCTGTTGGCAGACAGGTGCCATTGTGGGACTGTTCAGAAAGCAGTGTTCACACCTCTGCCTGCACCTCATCCTTCCTGTGAAAAAGTGGACAAAGCTGGGATGAAGCTGGCGACTCAGAACATGGGTTACTCCGTTGGCTCAAGTTGTCATGGAACTAAAGAAGTGCAGCTGCGGAAAATGAGAAGCGTGTCCAGTGCAGAAAGGTGGAGAATTGTCACTGAAGTCCCTTCCCATTAACAAACATGCAGTAAAGAACGTTAAAGCTTTGCTTAGACTTGGCCTTCTGCAGACAAGACGAGTATAGCAGTCTCTTCCCTTATGATGAGTCTTAAGTATACAAGTCAAGAGGAAAATGATAAGATGGGCTGTTAAGTGGAGAACTGCGTACCACTCATCCAACTGTTACTTTCAGTGCAGATGTAAGAGCAGATAATTTAGAAACCCACGGTTAGGGATACATGTTCACCATATCCTTCATCTTTCGCACTGGAAACGCGTTCCTCCATGACTAGCTGAGTTTTGCATCGACGCCAACAATAACCATTAATTGTAAAGTAAAAGTATGGTTTTAATTATCATGATGCAGATGAGGTTGTATAAATAAATTCCTCTTAATGAAGAATAGATGCCTTTGATGCACACTCCAGAAGCATTGCACTCATATTTATGTGCTAAAAACCAAATTGCCTAAATGATGCCATGTCAGGAACACATTTCAATAGCAAAATAGATGCCATTTCACCGCCAGCTTGGATCGGTGTGTCAGATGGCATAACTCTATCAAGGTACAGAAAGTAGAACCTGCAGAGAAAGGCCAGTGAAATTCAGTGAAAGCTGCAGTGAGAGGGAGTCCTTCAAATGCAGCAGGTGGAGAACCAGAGATAAGTACTGGAAGGCATGGGAAGAAAACAAGAGTTTGCCAGGTGCACTCTGTTCAGCTGGCAAAAGTCACCACCTCTCCTCACTATGCACCCCTACCCCTGCTGCCCCCACAAACACTCCAGGTATTCCTGGTGGCCCTGAGCCAGCGCTTTGCACAAGCTCCATGCCAGTCTCAGCTGCCCAGCTAATTGCAGCAGTGTGAACCAATGCTTCTTCAGTGCAAGAGAAAGGAACCAAAGTGCAGCTGCCATAAGCAGAACAGGCTTTGAAGTCTAGATGTGCTGCTGCCTCTCACTTTGCATGTCAGGATAGAAGACGTGCCAGTTTTGCCCTCTCTGTACCTGGTGCTGAGACTCCTTTTGTATCCCCACTCCAGGAATCCCACAGTCGCAGATAAGCACACAGTTTATGAAATCATTTCATTATACTGGAGAAGTTCATTATGACACCCACTGTTGGAGTCAAGACCTGTACTCTCCAGGCATACATATCTATTATATAAACCACACAGAAACACATCTTGTGTTGAAACAGATTGCAAATCAGACAAGCATCAGTTTAGATGGTAACTAAGACACACAAGCACTTTGAAACCAGGGAGATAAACGTGTTGTTTTTACGACTGAAATGCATATTCTCAGGAAAATCAAATCACACTTCTTTGCCCACAAGTCGTTTCAGGGGCCTCCCAGAGCTGGGATTCACAACTGAGGACACCTGCCACGGAGTTGCCCCAGCCCCACAGCTCACCCTCTGCACCACGTCCCCACAGAGACTGCCCCTGACTTGCCGCAGCTGCAGTCACAGTGGGGCTTTCCACGTGCAAGTGTTATTATTGACCCTCTCCCTGTGCAGATGGCTCAGAGCTGCAGCATCCCTGTATGAAGCGACAGCTTACCTGTGTTCTCCTGATGCTCCTGAGATCTCCAAATATGCAGAACGAACGTAAGCCAGACCGGTCTTGGCACCTGTCCTGCATTTCCAGCGTGTTCCAGGGACCCTTTCAGCGCTGAAATAGCCTGCTCAGTGCACGAAGCTCGAGGTCGCTCTCCAGGGCACTGCCAGCCCTGCGCAGACCTTGCTGCTCTTTGCAGGGTCAAGATGGGTTTCTCATCACAGGTTGCCGTGCATTATGGACGAGCAGCAGTTCCACCGCACTGTGGGAAGCAAACACCTACAACCACTCCCTGCACACACTGCGCCCGTGCAGCCGTGCCTGAAAGGCACAGCCTCCCTGCCGGAAAGTGCCAGAGCGCCCAGACAGAGGCAGGGATGGAGCAGACTGCTCAGAGCTGCGTGGCCTTAGAGTCCTGGTAAGCGAGCGGGTCCATCGCCTCCTGGAGAAGTTCAGGGCGAGCGGGTCCAGGCTTGGCAGAGGGAGAAACAGAAAAGAAAACGAGGGGGACGGTGTGGAAGGGTGGGCTGGCTTCTCAGTAAGGAGCATTTCAGCTGCAGGTCTTAAGGAAGACTTTGAAAAGAAAGCGCAGAGCCCTCCTGGCAGGGCAGCTAGCCCAGCTGCCCTCCCCACGTCTCACTTTTTATAAATTCTGGGAAACACTTTTAGACAGACACTGGCACTCATAAATTATACAACTCATTTGCATATTCCAGTCATGAGACATTATGCAAATGTGACCTGATTTGCATAATGGATTCCTCTTGTCGCTTCACTTGCTTCATGCTTTTAAAAAACAAAATGAAATAAAATGAAAGCACAAGAAGGTGGAAGCGATGAGTTCCCAGCCCCGCCGCGTCTCCTCCCAACCGCACCGTCATTCACCGGCAGAGATCGGGGCAAGGGAGAGAGAAAGTGAATAAACAAAGCCCTCACATGGTGCATTTCGCCTGTAATTACGACCATCCAACTTTCCCCCGGTTGAGATTCTTCCCCCCAAGTGACATATCGGAGCCAATTGAGGAAACAAAAACTGCCCTGGAAAACAGCATGAGTAGAAAAGGGAAGCGTTCCCCAGGCTCCCCGCCCCAGCACCTCCAGCTCACGCAAATGGGAGCCCCGCCATGCGGCCGAGCTGCCCTCCTGCTGCCCCTCCAGCAGAGCCTGCATCGAGCGCAGAGGGGAGGGAGCGCCGGGACTGTTTGTCGCAAAACACGATGGTGACATCTTGGGAAGGATGAGACGGGCGCACATCGGCTTCCCTCCGCCGCGCTCCAAAGACAGAACCTCTGCAGCCACCCAGCTCTGCTGCGGGCGCATCCCTGCCCCCCTGCACCGCACGAGCAGCAGCGCCGTGCCAGGCGGCAGTACCCTGTGGGAAAAGTTAACTGTAATTCTTCAGCTTTTAAAATCAATTAACCCGTGTGTTAATTAACGTCAAGTCGACGGGAGGAGGAGGAGGAGGGGAGAGAGGGAGGGAGGAGGGAAGAAAAAAAAGCTGCAAGGGCGGATGGCAGAAGAGTTGGCACAGTGCCATCCATTCAGTGGCAACGCCACAGTTCCGTGCGATAACGGCAGCGGGTATATGTTACGGGGGCCCTGTGCGCGGGCCAGACAGTGCGGTAACGCTAAGGGAGATTATCCAGACCCCCAGGAGCAAGCGGCGCGCAGCGAGCGGAGGCGCGAGTGCCAGGATTACAGACGAGGCTCTCCGCCGCCAGCCCTGCCTCGGACACGCTCGGCTATGGGCACAGCGCGCCGACTTCCAGCACGTTTCCCCCTCGAACGTCATTCTGCCGCAGTGGAGCCAGCACAACGGATGCTTTCACACCCCGCGAGACAAAGGCCGTCGTCTCCGCCATGACACCGCGCCGCTCCATGCCGAGGCCGGCATCTTGGAGGCTTCAAAAATAAAGGGAAAACGGCAACGCGGACAATAAGAACAGCAAAAGAAAAAAGCTCGGCAGCAACCCCCTCGTGCCCGTTCTCCGTGCCAGGGGCAACATGGGCATCTGTCACAGCAGAAGGCGTTTGTGAGGGGCTTTTTTTTTTTTTTTTTTTTTCCTCTCTTTTTTTCGCAAGCTGTTGATGTGTTTGCCATTCAGGTTCATTTACAATTAACTCCAAAAAAAGCCCCACCACACCCAGCCCGGGCAACAACAAACAAAAGGGAGCAGCCGACATCCAGAGAGAAGTGCCATCTGAGGCTGCACCAACGCGGGCGACGGACGGTGCCATTCGCCATTCGGACAAGCTGAGGGAGCGGTGCCAGCCCTGCGACTTGGGAGGGACCCGAGAGTGGAGCACGAAGGTTTCCAAACAACACACCGAGGGAAGGAAGGAATACCGCTCTCATAGGGCAGGATCACAGCTGCACACAGCCTCTGCTGGGAGGAGAGGGAATGTTTGTAGATAGCGAGATGCCTGTGTATGCACACACACACACACACACACACACACAGAGCAGTGTGCGTATGGACACACATACACATACACACACAGTGCCTCAGATAATTGCAGATAGACGTGTGAGTGTGTGTGTGTGTGTGTGTGCAGAGATGTGTGTGTGCTGCATGCACACATACATGTGCGGGGATATATATTTGTGTGCATGCGTGTAATATACCTACACACATGTGAGGAGATGTACGTTTGTGTGCTTGGGAGAGACATTCTCACACACACACACACACACACACAATGTGAGCATACATCCCACTTTTTGACCTAGGTATACACGGAAGACAAAATAAAAATCATACTCCAGCAGCAAGCAGGCAGTCAGAGATTTATCTACATTCACTGCTATCACCAGGGAGATGAATGGGGCCGATCTGAAGCCCTTTGCAAGATCCACTATAGGAGTGAAGGAGGAGGAGGGATGCCACACAGACATGCACAAACTTGAAGACAGAGAGATTTGGAAGGTGCTACTTGTGAAACCCAGGTGGCACTCCGGAGGGTGAGCGAGGGAAAGAGCTGCACACACTCCGCAGGGGCCGGAGGGCTTTTGGAAAAGGGCGTCAAGGGACAGCTGGCTACTTACGTTGTGTTGTCTGCGCTGCTGAGGATCCTGCAAGGTGTTCTGTTGGCACCGGGCGCTGAGCCAGGGAAGGGCACTGGAAACAAAAGGGAGAGACAAAAAATAAAGTCACACAGCGGGAATATTAATTGCCTCTCTTGCGGATTTTACAAAACACACAAAATGTTTTCTTTTTGCTGTTGTTTTTTTTTTTTTGGTGGATTGGCGCGGTTCCCCTCTGCATGGAAAATACTAGCATGGGATTTACAGCCCAGCTACAGGGCTCAGGATTAACAGTGCTGGCATCTTTTGGGCATATTTTTTCTGTTAATGAATGAGCTTTCGCTGTTAATGAGGAATAATCGTTTGGCTAATGAGCTTTGAAACATTAAGAGAAAAGAGGTTTTTTTTCCCCGTTAATCGCCCTGGTGCGACCGCATGGATGGATTACAAAAGACAGCAGTAGGAATGCAGTACAAAGGGGGGGAAACGTCTCTTGGAGTGGGATAAATGCAGAGATGGGTGATGCGTCCCCGCATCCCTCCTTCCTTCCCTTCCCTCTCTCTGCCAACTGCTATGGGTTTCCATAACTCCGCAATCAAAGTGGATGTTCGGGAAAGATTATTATAGTCAAACAGCGGAGTGTCGGCTGTTAATGTCTCCAGTGTTTAATCATCATACAGTAGAATGGTTTTATGCATATTTCATTTGCATATCATTAAACTGCGTTAGCACGGGACGTTCAGAGCTGGAGAGGTACAAAGTTGGGGGGAGAGAGAGAGAGCGAGAAAGAGACAGAGGGAGGAAGGTCCCTGTGATGCCTATCTTCAAAAGCAGGGACTTTTTCCATGGTCTGTCTTCTGCTTTTCCTAAAATCATGGTGACTCGGAAACCTTTGAAGTTGGATATAACCTTGGATTCTTCTAATTTCAGCAGAGTGATGTATTAGAAAGGGGTAAACGATGCTGCGTTAGACATTTAAAGGAATACAAGCTCCAGTGGAATGGAAATAGGAGCTCTTTGGGGAACGGACTGGCAGAGCCAGCTGCGGCTTCGACAAACACCACACTTCTTGGTTAATACTAGTGAAGGATACCAGAGTAAAACAAAAGAAATGAAGACAACATATACATTAAGATGGGAATTATATTTCTCTTTCTCTTGCTTTTCTGTTTCTTTTAGAAGACGAAAAGAAGGATGGAACCAGCGGTAATTTACACATTAATTAGCAAGCAGTTGCTTCTTGTGTTTGTTTTCCTTCTCTCTTTATTTTGGAGAGGAGTGTTGTCACCGCCGAAGAGATTAATCAATTATTTGGTAGCTCAGATCCTTCTCCACTGGCACCAATTGGGACGAGGTGGTGGTGGTTGCGGGGGGAGGAACACAGTGGGCTCTTTGTAGATCTTATACATGCACAACATATTAATTGGGGTCTTTATAAAGCTCCCTCAATAGACTGTTTCTTTCGTGGTAAAACAGCAGCTGGTTCGCCACCGTTGGCGACTCTTCAAATATCATTTTTGCTGGGGGCATTTCTATCGCTGTTTGTTGTTTTGCTTTATTTTCTTTCCCAATGGAGGGGGGCTGCACACACGATGCTTCTGCTGCCCGCTGGTCTTGAATGGCAGACAGACAGACAGTATCGATATCAAGACGATCTCTTGAGCTGAACGCGGAACTTTGCTTCAAAACGAAATGCTGTTTTATATTTAAATTTTCCTCCTCCCTCCCCCATGTTTCTTCTCTTCCAAGTCTTTGTCTCGGTTATGAATATTCAGATGAGCCGTGATGTGATTACACTGTACAATTACTTTCGTCCATGGTAGTAGCTAAGGCACCGAGGAAAGACAGAGCCAGACAAGCTCAGAGCTCATTCGGGGTTTGTTTTCTCTATTTTTGCCCATCTCTGTAGCGCTGTGGCACATGCAGATGTCGCTGTTGTTCTTTATAATTCTTTATAATGATATGCGAAAGCATAACGACCCCATTTGGGTGCACAGCATCAACGATATATTTCTGGGGGGGGCAATCCTGACTGAAGGAATGTCCACATAAATTATTTTTATTTAAATCAGTTGAAGGAGGTGGTGGTGAAGCAGAGGAAGTCACATGAATACATGCATAATGTTAATACGCAGAAAGGTTATTGCCAAGGAGAAGAGTGTTTTCTGCACAGCGCTTGGGACAAACAGGCTCATTAGGGAATAGCGCAGCCCACTGCGTGATTTACTTATTTATCATTACTCATACTTAAGCTGGGGCACCAGGCACGCTCGCTGCCTGGAGACTCTTGAGGACCAGTAGCTCTCTGCCTACACCCTTTCCAGCTTCCATTCAGAAATTTCAGCGACATACACGATGGGAGGGGGGCAGGAAAAGAGAAATCAGAGGGAGAATGCGTTAAGTGCCATGCTTCAGTAACAAAGGAGGAGCCCAATGACAGCCTTGCGGGTGGAGTGACAACACGGCAGCGCGTGTTGGTGTTCAGATGCTGCTGCTGGCTCGTGGCAGGCTGCTGTGCATTGCTCCAGGGACAGCAGCAGTGATGCAGCGCCCATGCCCTGCCACTCTGTGTTCTCAGAGGAGCCATCCTCTCCCCCCATCCCGCAGGCACACACCGATGTTGCCAGTATCTAGAAACACTGCTGAGCAGATCCCCAACTGCCAGACTGAGGTTTCTCTGTCTCTTAATAGTACCTGACAAGGATACGGTAGGAGTATCTGTTCAAAGCAGGCTGCAGAGTCCTGAACAAACAGCTACCAGGTCTTCAGGCAGACTCTATCACTAACGGAGCACCGAGAGCCTCGAACAGAAGGGGAAGGCTCTCATCTAAGGACTTAACAGGCAGAGGATGCAGCGACCCATAGCAAAGGGGGACTGCTGCCCAATACCGCTTGGAGATTCGTAACTGTGATCTCATCTATTAGTTCTCTGAATCAAGTTCCTTCCTGCATCTCCACAGATGTGTTTGTAAAGCACACGCAAAAAAACACCCTTCTGTAAAGCCACCTGGGAATCTGAGCACAAGGCAAGTCTGCCAGCTCTGATTAAAAATATGACACCAGTACCACCTCTAGGCAAGAATCCTAAATCCAGCCTCTCTGTGCTCACAGTTGAAAACGTGCAAAAATTCAAGGCACAAGGGAAAGTCTGACCATCAGCCTGACTTCGGGTTAGATATGAATATCCTGTCTGTAACCACACAATACTCTTGAAGGCCCTGCTGAGACACGTTACCATCCTGACAAAATGAAACTGGTATGGCAGCCAGTCAGACCTCAGAGAGCAGCCCAGCACCTGTGTGCTGCAAGGCACTGAGCTGCTGCCATGAGCCACAGTGACCTGAGCAGGAGCTCCACCCCATCCACCCGTACCAACGGCTTCCTGACCCCAGCGCAGCGGATCTCATCAGACACTCTTTCTATAGATTCTCTCATTATGTAGCAGGAAGGAGACTACCGATGAGAAAAGCATAGCTTGTACCATATAAGCAACATGTGTGAAGCACAGTGGTGATGCAGCAAGAGGCATTGATACTCCGAGATGCCCACACTGCTCTGCATACACTACCAAGGATGCTCTCACACAGCTTCTGCAGGGCTGTTCTGGCCGTGCAGGCTGCTGCTGCTCTTTAACATGCACAGCTGTGAAACAGGACTACTGCTGTCCCAATCTACTCCTGATTGCAAATCTGCGACCACTGTGAAGTGAATGTCCCCATGGAGACTTCAGAAAGGGGCAGCTGTTATAATACCACAGGAACCATTGCTCTGCTTGTCACTGTACCGAGCACCCTGAAGAAACTGCTGTTTAGAAAAGGAAATTCAAGAATTTATGAAAGATATTGATATTCAAAAAGAAAGAAAAAAAGATTGTTTTGCAAATAGTAGCACTGCTGAAGAGAGGAAAGAAGTGCATCATTCATTTGATATTACACATAAGCAGTTTATTAAAGAATTAAATATTTATAGACTATAAAGCAAGCAGGGCGATGAGTCGCAAACAGCTGCTGAGAAGTATGTTATAAACAATGAGTCTGTCAGTGACTAATAAAGTATGGAGAACACAAATGTTTCATGAGGCCAGCTATCAATCCCCAAAGCTGAGAGGCTGCAAGAGGCACCGAGGTTCCTGCTGCAGTGCAAGCCTGGAGCCAGCACAGGAGGGACAATGACTGACGAGAGATGTGGAACAGACACATGCTGAGCACTCGTGGGAACACACGTGATTCAATGCCTCAGAGAGATTTAATTTTTCACATTACTTTAAACACTGTTCTATTAATAGGAAATGCAGGAATTTGGGAGTTCAAGGCACTTCCCTCTTCAGTTTTTCCTCTGCATCTACTCTTGCATTTCCAACAAAACTCCAGGCTGTGATTCAGACTGAAATTCCTCTCTGCACAAAGCTCTTTCCTTCCCTCGCAGACATAAAAGGTGCAGATACTTCAGGCACCAGCTTGCCTGTTCTGAGTGATGGCGGACAACTCACATTTATAAAGGCTTTTTAAAGGAAGAAATAGTTTATAGCCTGGAAAGCCTTTTTCATTATTATTATCACTTATTTATTTTTTTTTTAGAAGAAGCTGACAAAGTGTGCACTTCATACAATTTGAGGACATCCCTCATTTCTCAATAGCACACGGACATCAGTCATATTAATTTGGGGGAAAATGCTGCTTTATTACAAGTGGAGACGTAATTGAAGTCTCTTCAGATTATTTTTATTTTTCTGGGCCCAGTCCAAGAAATTATTTCTAATGTAGGACAAGCTGACACCTTTGGTCTCTTCAAGGCTGATTCCTATAGCTGTTCTCACAGTTGCAAGTCTGGTAAGATGGCTGAAGCTCCCAAGTGGCCTCAGCATTTGTGACCCTTTAGAATTTACTCTCTTTGCAAGCCAGCAGGATTTAGACCTGCTTCAAGAATCTCAGTCACCACAAATCCCACTCCTCTGACAATCACTGTGCTGAATATCATCCTTCAAGGCTGCAAGCCAAAGTGCTGTGTGCCGAGACAGCGAGGGGAGAATCCATACAGAGAAAGGAGACAGAATGTAACTGCTGCCTCCTTGCTCTCAAATGCAGTCCCACTGAA